TATCATTTAACATTTTTTATTGATGTCTTTTGTTTTTACATTATCTTCTAATTCAAATATATCTCCACTGACTTCTTGAGACACTTACCAGCTGTAGGACTCTGGACAAGTCACTTACCCTCTGACTGCCTCAGTTGCCTCATCTGTAAAATGGGAATAATAATAATAGCACCTACCTTCCAGGGTTGTTGTGAGGATCAAGCGAGATACTAATTGTAAAGGGTGCTTAATAAATGCTTGTTTCTTTCCCTTCTCTTCCTTCTCCCCAGAAAGCCATCCCCTGTAACAGAGTATAAAAGGGGGGAAACAGTTCAACAAAACTAATCTGTACATGGACCAGCTGATACAGTTACTGGAATGGAAAGTGTGTCAGGGGGAGTAATATAAAATGATGCTTGGAGCGGTGGCTGGGAGCCAGACTGTGGAGAGCTTTAAATGCCAGGCTGATGATTTTGTATTGTATCCTCAAGGCAATAGGAAACTATGAAAGATGTTTTTAGTAGGGGAAGGGGGGACTTGGTCAGATAATTGATTCTCACTAGAGTGGCTTTTACAGATCTTCTTATCCCTCCTCAAACCTTCAACAGCAACCTTTTCTCTAACCCTGAAAAAATTGAGAATATTCTCTGAGTTTCCTCTTCCTCCCTCCTCCTCATCTCACATCTCTTAGACTTCTTCCTCCACCATGTCCTCCCTCGTGCCTGTCTTACACGAAGAGCCTTTCTCATTGTCAAAGCAAACCCCTTTAAGATGTATCCTTGATCTCATTCGCTCCCAACTTTTCCAGTAATTTGTCCTCACTATCATCTGTTGACTCTTCAGTCTCTATCTACTAGTTCTTTCCCTGCTGCCTAAAAACATACCATGTCTCTCTCATCCTTAAAAAACCCTCATTTGATCCCACCACTCCCAATATCTGTGGTCCTTTATCTCTCCTTCCATTCTTGGTTCAACAAATTGAGGAAACCATCTATGCTAAGGGCCTCTACTCTTCCCCCCTCCTCTGGAACCCCACCCCCATTCACTTACTTCTAAACCCTCTTCAGTCTGGCTTCAGATCTAATCATTCGAATGAAATTGTTCTCTCCAAAGTTACTAACAGTTTCTTAATTGTCAAATCGAATGGTCTTTTCTCAGTCCTTTATCCTTCTTGACCTCTCTGCAACTTTTGATACTATCACTATCTCCTATACAATACTCTCTCTTCTCTAGGTCTTTGTGACAAGGCTTTCTTCTCACTCTTTCCCTACCTGTCTGACCACTCCTTCTTTGCTGGATCTTCATCCAGGTCATGCCTTCTTTCCTCAGCCCTCTCTTTTTTCCCTCAAACTGTGGGTTACCCCATATGGGGCTGTGACCCACCGTTTAAGAAGCACTAAAAAGGTTGCAAGTGGAAAAAGTTTAAGAAGCCTTGCTCTATCCTATCTCACCTGGTGATCTCGTCAACTCCCACAGACTGAGTTATTATCTTCTATTACCTTCAGCTCTATAAATCTAGCCCTAATTTCTCTCCTGTGTTGCCAACTAACTGCCTCTTGGACATCTCAAATTGGGTGTCCCATAAGCATCTCTAACTCAACATGTCCAAAACAGAATTCATTACCTTTTTCCCAAACCCTCCTTTCTTCCCAACTTTCCTCTTAGTGTATTCTCCATCATTCAGGCTCACCACCATACTCACTCCACATATCCATTCCATTGTCAAGTCTTGTCATTTCCATCCTCACAATATGTCTCAAATAGGTCTGATTCTCACCACCTTCACCTGGACTATATCGGTAGTCTTCTGGCAGGCCTCCCTGCCACAAGTCTCTCCTCAGGACAATCTGTTGCACTCAGCTGCCAACACGATTTTCCCAAAGCTCAAGTCAGACTGGGTCACCCTCCCCCTATTAATAAACTCCAGCGGCTCCCTAATGTCTTCAAGATCAAATATAAACTCTTTTGGCATTTAAAGCCCTTCGCAACCTGCCCTTTTCCTACCTTCCCAATCTTCTTACTTTTTTGTTTTCCACCATACACTTCACAATCCAGTGACACCAGCCTTTTTGCTGGTGTCCTCATGCATGCCACTCTATCTCCAGATTCTATGCTTTTTCACTGGCTATCCCCTTTTCCTTCAATGCTCTCTCTCCTCACTTCTTCCACTGACCTTCTCTGGTTTTCTTTGAGATTAAGGTCAAATTACACCTTCAACAGGAGGCCTTTCCCAGCCTCCCATCCCCCTGTTAATGCTTTCCCTATGAGATAACCTTCCACTGGTAACATGTATTTTGTATGTACATAATTATTTGCATGATGTCTTCCCTGTTAGAATGTGAGCCCCTTGAGGGCTTTGCCTTTCTTTGTATCATAGCACTTGGCATACTTAGTAAATTCTTATGGACTGACTGATTGTTTTCTGAACATTAGTTTGGTAGCTGAGTGGAAGAAAGAGTGGAGAAAGCAGCAACTAGAGGAAGGGAGATGAATTAGGGGATTTACAGTAGTCTATGGGAGGAGTGATGATGGTCTGAGACTGCGGTGGTGGCTATCTGAGTAAAGAGAAGGGGGGAGATAGTGGGGAGGCAGAATCAGCCAGCCTTGGCAACTGATTAGATATGGAGGTGGATGGAGAATGAAGAGTCAATGATGACTCTGATGTTGTGAACCTTGGTGACTAGAAAGATCACGGTGCCCCAAATAGAAACAGGGGATTTTAGAAGACCAATGTGTTGGCGTGGGGGGACACAATGAATTCTGTTTTGGACATATTAAGTTTGAGATGCCTATAGGGCGTCCGGTTATAGATGGGGGTCATGTGAGACTAGAGGCTAGGAGAGGGATTGGGGCTGGATATTTAGAACTGATGAGATCACTATGTGAGATAGTATAGAAGGAGAGGAGAAGAGGGCCTAGGATAGAGCCTTAGGGGATACTCACAGTTAATGATCATGACCTGGTTGAAAATTCAGTAAAGGAGACTAAGAAGGATCTGTCAGACGGGTAGGAGAGGCATCAGGAGAAATGAGCGTTACAGATGACAAGAGAAAAGAGAGTGCCCAGGAGGAGGGGGTGGGTCTACATCCATGAAACAGTTCCACAACAGCATTTGGCCTAATGTGTTCTATACATAAAGGAGGTGGGCATTCAGACTCAGCACCAAAGTTCAGAGGAGAGAGAAATCAGTCCATTTTTCTAGGGCTGTGAAAGGACTGTCACACTCATTTTATAGGTGAGGAAAGGAGCCCCCGTACAACTGGCCACACTCCACTAGCTGGAGAGTGCCTAGCCTTGCCCACAGAAAAGGAGAGCTTTCTCTTCCTCTTTCACGGGCCACCACATCCTCCCATTTCTTCTTTGGAAAGCCAAGAAGTTATGGCTGGGAGTGGGGTAAGATAGGGTTGGGTGGTCGGAGGAATAGATGGGAGGTCAGGACTGGCTTCCCTTGAGCTTAGTTTAGCAGATATATTTGAAGCACCTGCTGGGTACTGGGTTCTAGGCAAGGTGTTCCAGGTCTACACTGGAGAAAGGCATGGGCCTTGCCCTCGAGGCGCTTATGCGCCATGAAACCATGGACATAGAAAAAAATGAGGAGACTATGAGTATGAAAGTGGCACAGAAAGCTCCAGAATACTGGGAGAACCCATGGGAATAAGGGATGACCTCTAGCTAGGGTTCTAGTTTTAACTCTGCTCCTGACACCAGCAAGGTTCTCTGTGTCTTCCTAGGTGACAGAGCCTCACTTACACACATGGAATCTGTGCTTCTGTCCCCATAGAAGAAGCCTAGAGGAGACTTCCTCCCTGCTTTAACACTCCCACTGCCCCAGGCATTCTTCCTTCTCTAAGACAGAGGCCTCCTAGTATAACCGTTTTATCACAAACCCATTTCTCTTGAGCTCAAGTGAGGCACCTCATTCTAGCATGGAACACTTGGTGTTCCTGAAGATCTGTAGCCTTTGTGATTTAGAAACTGAGCTGAACCTCCCTGAACTCCCATTCAATGAAGCATTTAGTAAGTGCATGCTTTGTGGCAGACCCCAAGCTGGTTCTGGCCATATCCAAAACTAAAGTGAAAAGTCCCCGCCTTCAAGTCCCTTCCATTCTCCTGGAAAGAACATGTAGTCAGTACATGTTATAGTCAACACAAAATATATTCCAAGTTAAAACAAATAATCTAGGAAAGGGAGTTGGAACAATGATGAAAACTAGGGTGGAGAATGTAAGAAAGGCCTCATTTAAGAGGGGGTACGAGCCGAGCTGTGGTGGAGCTAGGGATTCCCAGAGGTGGAGGTGAGCAGGAAGTGCATGCCAGGTGTGGGGGCACAGCTGGTGCAAAGGCACAGATGCAGGAGCTGGAATGTCATTTAGGGGGAGCAGCTTAGCTTGAACATAATGTGTATGGAGGGGGCGGTTAATGCAAAATTCCTGAGGAAGAGTAGGGTGGAGCCACACGGTGAAGGGCTTTAAATGACAAAGAAGTTTGTATTTTATCCTCTGGATTATACTCTTAGGTCCTTCTCAGTTTCTGGGCCCCATCAAAATGTAATGGAAAGAGCCCTGAAATCTAGGTTCGAGTCCCAACTCTACTGGTTGGTAGCTATGTGACTGTGAGCCAGGTGTTTGTCTTCTCGGGACCTCGGTTTCTTCTTTAAAATGAGGGGATTGGACTCAGGGAGCTCTCAGACCCCTCCCATGATCTGTGGCAGTCCTGCTTCTGCTACTTAGTCCCCAGGTGACCTTGGGCCCTGTCCTTTCTCTGAGGCTCAGTTTCCCTACTTAAACAATGAGGTCGTTGAACCAGTTGATCTCCAAGGTGCTGTCCAACTTCCCAAATTGACTCAGACTCCCTAGGGGCTCCCGACAGACCTCTGTGTGGTGACTGCAAAGGAGAACCTCACAGGGGACAGGACACTGGTCTTTTGAATTCTTCTGCACCAATGAAACAAAGAAGAAATAAGGGTTGATGACATCACCTATCTAGGGCACCTACCTTCAGCTCATTTCTGTGGTGAGACACCACGCACATTTAACTTCCTCTTCAAACAGCATACTGTGCATTTTATCAGCAAGCTCCTGTGTCACTGGGGCCCTGCTTCATGCTGTGTCACCGAGCTGCCAGTCCAGGGTGAGCCTCAGGGTAAGTGTCACCATGTGGGGTTTAGCCAGGACCTGACCTCACCCAACAGCCTAGCCATGGAGGCTGGCCACGGGAGGAGGAGGGGCCTTGGCAAGCCTGGGACCTGAAAGCTTTCCCCAGGGTTCTACTCTCGGACAAACTCTTCCACCAGAAGCTGCCGAAGAGCACAGAGACAGAGGAACTGGCCAGGCCCAGGAGGCCAAGCAACAGGTAGCTTCCTCCCACCCCTCGGCTTCAGTGGCACATAGGGGTCCAGATGGAGCCCAGCTCTGGGTACTCAGCAGACCTCAGAGCATAAACTTCCCACCTGGAAAGGACGAGAACATCAAATTCAACCTTCCTATTTCACAGACAGGAAAATGAGGCCCAGAGAGGGGAAGTGACTTGATTTTCCCACCTCTGAGAGGGTATGGGGAGAGGCTGTTTCCACATATTGGGGTGATTGGCTCAGAAAGAATCTGTGCGTTTCAAAAAAAAGTCCTTGTGCTGAGCCATTGGAGAAATGAGGGATAGAGATTTGGAGAAATGAAATCTGTCATGTTGTAGCTTTCTGCCGTGTGGGAGTCTATGAAGAGACATCACCAGGAGAGGGGTGTGGTGGGAAGGAGGGCGCTTCATATTCGAATGGAAAAGCTCACTGTCCCCCACCCTAGGACAGGAAGCGATCTCTAGTTCTCTGTATCCTAAAGTCTTGGCTTGGTATTTAGGGACCCATTCTGTTTTCAGCTGGAGATGGAGCCCAGACTCCAAGTTCCTGAGGAATGGAGTTGAGCCAGAGAGCTCCAGCGTCAGCTCTGGCATTTCTCAGGGTGCTCTGGCTAACTCTCTCATTACCAGTGAGTTCCAAATCCTTGAATGGTAGTACCTCTCTGGGCCTTAGCCAGGAGTTTTACTGGGTGAGTCAAAAAGAGGTTTCCCCCTGAGGGTGGGCTGTGCCCAGCCTGTCAGAGCCATGACCAGTTAGGGGAGAATAAGAACAGGTTCTGGTGTTTCCTCTGGGAGTAGCTATCTAGTCACAGGGCTGTAGAAGGGATAAGTCACATGTATTTTTCATTATCTAGACCCCCATCAGGCATAATCTCTACCTCTGTTACCTGATTGTTTCAACTTCTCAGTATATGGAACCAGGTGTGATTGTTAGTGATAGAAATGGAAGCCAGCATATCAGGGCAGGGAATGGCAGGAGATGTTGCCAGAGATGGAGCAAGCGTTCATGGTAACAGCCTTTGCAGCAGGCTGGGAAATCCATGCGAGAAGAGATTTCCAGTCCAGACAAGTGGAGCATGGCTCCACCTTTCTGGGCCCCAGGGAGTTCCCTTTTGGACTCACCTGGGAACATTGCCCAGATGGCTCCAATGTCAAGCTGCGTGGCTTCCAGGTAGAAGAAGACTTTCCAGGGGCAGTTTCCTCCAGGATTTCTCTGGCTACCTTGGAGGGATCACAACAACAGCTCTTGGCCCAAGGGATGCTCAGCTTGAATTTAGCCCAACAGCCCAGAATAAAATGAGTCTGTGGCAGAGTACGGTTTCCCAGGGGGCAGGGTAGAAACCTGGGATGTAGAATGCTAGAGCTGAAGAGGGCTCCAGAGATCACTTGGTCCAGCTGGACCAGGGATTGTTCACCTTTGTTGTGTCATGGACCCCTCTGGCAGGTCAGTGAAGCCTAGCGATCCCTTCTCTGAATCATCCTAAATGCGTATAATAAAATATGTAAGATTACAAAAGAAATCTCATATATCAAAATGTTTTTTAAAAACAAGCTTGCAGACCCCAGTTTAAGAACCCCTAATCTAGTCCAATTTAATCTTATTTATAAAATACAGTTATTTTTCAGATGAGGAGCCTGAGGTCAGAAAGGGGAAGTGGTTTGTCTACTGTCCTGCAGTGAGTTAGACGCTAAGAGGCATGCTTTTCTGCCTTCTGGCTCAGTATTCTTTCCATTATACACCTTGGTTGTTGTCCAGGAGAGATGCCAATGTGCCTGATCTGGCCATTTGTATGGGAAGATTCATTCTGGGATGTTCACTCACCCTTACCTGGTGCCATATGCTTCAGAACGATTGCACAGGTATGAAGAGGGTGTCTGAAGGATTGGAGGAGGAGAGAAAACAGCCCGTGGGGAACTTAATTAGAGGGGGACAGAGGGCTCCCTAGGAGGGAGCTGTTTGCTTTCATGCAGGTCACTTCCTCTCTTTGAGCCTCAGTGTCCTTTTCTGTAAAATGAGGGTAGGAATGACAATCCTTATACTCCCTTGCTCCTAGAGCTATTTTCAAGGAAGTCTCTTGGTCTGTTTTAAAGCTAGGGAAATAGGAGTGCTGACCAGGCCCAAGGTCCATAGAGACCCCACAGACCTTCCTTAAAGGACAGTGGATTTTTTTTAGCCTGCCACACCCCCATGAGAACACAGTGTCAGTTTCATGACCACAAGCAAACATTTTCTAAGTAATTTCTCTTTTCAAATGAAAAAAAAAAAAGCAATCAGCTATCCCAAAAGAAAGGAACCCAGAAGTTCTCAAATCCGGTTTGCAAGCTTTGGGGGTAGGGAGGGACCGAGGTACTTGCACATTAGCTGAGAGGTTTAACACTCCCCCACTCTGGATTTCCTGGACCCACCTCATTAAAAACAAGTGTCACAGCTACTGAGCATGGGAATGACTGGGTCACCCTCAACCCGAGGGAGGTCATTGCGTACTTAAGCAGAAGTGCTTTCTAGAAGCTGACCCCCTTTCGGCTTTTGACCTGTTGATTCTGACCTTAGGGGAGTCAGCTGGGGTGGGAGAGAGCGAGCCCTGGCTTTAGAATCAGGTAGACCTGGTCCTTCCACTCTTGCCATGTGTGACTCCGGGTGATGCATGGACGACTGCCCTCTCTGCACCCAAATGTCCTTCTCGGTAAAATGAGGGGATTAAATGGAATGATCTCTATGGCTCCTCCTAGCTCACTGCAGAGAAAGCTCAAAGTTAAGCTTGGACATGTAACTCCTTGGAGTGGAAGGTGTGAGCAGGCAGTTAAAATCAACTGTGAAGCTCAAAAGGATTTATTTTTCTGTTAATTTATCACACACAAATGGTCCAGTCTCATAAGATTTGTCCAAATCAGTCTGTAATTGTGACCTCTTGCAGCGTTCATTTTGAAAAGTGAAGGATCATAGGATTTGGAGCTAGATGGAGCCTCAGAGGCCAATGCTATCATTTTAAATATGAGAAAACTGGGGCCCAGAGAGACAAAGGGACTCACCTAAAATCATAGAGGCAAGGAATGGGAGAGCCAGACAGCTAACCCAGGGCCTCTGGCTCCAAAGTCGCTTCCCTCGAGGGCGTCATTTAACTGCCTTGGGCCTCACTCTCCTCCCTGTACATGAGGAGGCCCAGCTCCATGGGTTTGAAGGTCTTTCCCTTTGCAGCTGCTATACTTTGGTCCTAGCAGATGATTTAGAGCTAGAAGAAACCTCAGTAAGGCCTCTAATCGAACCTCCTTATTTTACAAGTGAGGAAAATGAGGCTCAGAGAGGGAAAGCCCCCCACCCCCCAGGTACTTAGGAAGGGCTTCAAGCCCAGTTCTTTGGATGCCACGCCTGGAGGAAGGCAAGGAGGGGATGCCTGGGGAGTGGAGCCCCTCTGGAGTGTCTGCCCACTCTGGAAGCAGCCCGGGCCCAACAGGAAGAGCATTAGCCTGAGTAAGACGACATGAGTTCAGATGTTCACAATGTTCCTCCCTGGGCCTTAGGGTTCCCCTCGGTAAAATGAGGGCTTGGACTCCATGATCTTTACGGTCCCTTCCAGCTCAGAATCAATGGGGCAGATCTCCCTCCCAAGTCTCCCCACAGTCTCTGGCAGTCTTGGCACAGCTCTGACCCCTGGTGGCCAGTTGTTTCCAAAGCCTGCCTGCAGTTTGAGCTGCCAGGAAGTGATGATCCCTTGACCATGGACTCAGAGAGCTTTGGAAGTGAAATGAATCTTACTCTTAAGCCTAGAATAGGACCATTATTTATGATCACGTGTCATTGTAGTCCAGTGAAAGGAGCACTGGCTCTGAGGTCCGAGGATCTAGGTTCAAATCCACCCTCAGAGACCTCAGGGGAGTCATTTCACTTCCTGGAGCCTTAGTTTCCTCCTATGGAAAATGAGGGGGTTGGGCTAGACAGCTTCAGAGGGCCTTTTTCCACTAGAGTTCTGTGTTTTTTTGTCTAATGATTCATTATTTACAAAGCACTTCTCTCTCAGCAACCCTGGCAAGCAGGTAGCACAGAGATCACCACCTTCATAGGACAGATGAGGAAATGAGGCTCAGATGGGGTCAGATGTCTTGCTTCTGGTCATGCCATAGAATCAGAGCTGGAGCCCATGTCTTCTTGGTGAGAGCATTGCCAAGATTTCATCAGTCAAGTGTGGAAGCCTTTCCTGAGACTTAGGCTTAGGGCCCATGATGTCCACTTTCACTACCATTCTGCTTTTCTAAGGCCAAGTGACCTTTCCTTCTAAAGACAGTAACACCAGGCCTCTCTGTGCCTAAAGAACCAGTGATTCCTTCATAAAATCAAAGTGATTTTAGTGTCAGCAGACTCTTGGATTTAGAAACTCTCTCCTGTGCCTGAGAAGTTTGCTTCCCAATTGTGATGTTTTGGGGGGTGTGTGTGTGTGTGTGTGTGTGTGTGTGTGTGTGTGTGTGTGTGTGACATACATATACACACACGCATACACACACACACACACACACACACACACACACACACACCAGTATCCATTAGTATCACAGTATGTCTGAATCTTCTCCAGAAGGCCAAAGCTACCAGACAGTCAAACGGGTGGTCTCACAGACCCAATCCGCAGTAATTACTCCATTTCTGTGCCACTCCAATGTGTCCTCGAGCCAACCTTGTAAGGTAGGAAGTGCAGGTGTCATTATTCCCACTTGACAAAGGAGGAAAGTGGGTCTCCAAGAGGGGGAGCCTCTAGCCTGGAGCCCCACAGTGAATAAGAAGTATGTGAGAGTTAGGATTC